AACAAACAAGCAAACAAGCAAACAAGCAAGCAAGCAAGCCAAACAAACAAACAAACAAACAAACAAACAAACAAACAAACAAACAAACAAACAAACAAACAAACAAACAAACAAACAAACAAACAAACAAACAAGCAAACAAGCAAACAAACAATAAAAATACATCCGCTGTACCTTGGCAGTGTGTACCATTGCCCTCGAATCCATCATTACAGGAGCAATTGTAAGATCCAACAGTATTTGTACAATTGGCATTTTCATGACAATCATTTTCAACAGCACACTCGTCAATGTCTGCAATTAAAAATATTTTTAAAATTGGAAACAGAAACCGTTAGACGTTCTAACTTCTAATTATATTTCAAAAAACAATTACAATCCTTATGAAATCTACAATATTTAGATTAAATTAAGCATAGTTTTTCACCCCATGATAATTTTTTTTGGAAATAAGAAAATTTAATTTCTGCCAGGTATATTAAGCAATTATTGGATTCGGCTTTCGCATGATATCAAGAATTATTCAGACTGAGGTCAATGTTATCTGCCGAAGCGAAGCTGAGGCGGATAACATAGACCGAGGTCTGAATAATTCTTGATATCATGCGAAAGCCGAATCCAATAATTGTTTTATTATACATTTAAAGACATGAGAAAAGTATAAAACGATTCCTGTTCATGAGGTAGGAAAAGTACAATTTGAATATCAAACACCTTGCACAAAGTCAAAGGTCAGCTAAATATTCTATTTCCACTTCTATTTACCCCTTTGTGGCTTTTTTCGTGCTTTCACTATCCTTATCTGCCAATAATTTGGAGAGTTCACTTTCATTCACATCTGCTGTAGGCCATTGTAACAGCTGGGCATTCTGTTGTCGCTGTCTAAATATTGCGGGCGCATTTCTTTAACAAACATTTTGATTCTTCCAACGCTGAAAATATGCATTGTGAGAGGATTTTTTGTCCTCTTTTACTGGTTTGTTCATGGAAAATAAAGTGTTTCTTGAAAGATTAAGTTGTAGTGCTTGTACGCAACGATATAACGACTTAATCGCATGAAAACGTGCGAAGAATTTTTATTTACAAATGGGCGACAAGTGGAAATGTTTCACTCATTGTCAGAGTTTCAGAAGCAGGGTACAGCAGTATGGAAACAAGGAAGTGTTCATATTTTGCTCTTGATAGAAGCTGAGTTGTTGTTGTTTCCACAGGTATGTTCAATAATTTGTTTGTCCTATCTCATCTGGAATAATAAGTGTCTTAAAATACATATTTTGATGAAAATGACACATATTCCTCTTGCAATTTCGTAGAAACTGGCCGTTGCCTTCAGTTAGAAAATATATTTTATGAAAGTTAAATCATACTTTGTTTTATTAAAACCTGAGCTATTCGTGGGAAAAATGTGCTAGATGTTGTAATTGACAAATCCACTTGTGAAGTGAAAATGTCATGTTGTCACATGCTTATGAAATTGCTCCTGTATTGGTTTGTTATAAAGTAAAAATTGCTGCAAAAATGCTTTTGAAAATGTTCAAGTATTGGTTGTTATGAGATAGGAAATGCCGCATTGATTTGTTCAGTTTTAAGAGTCTAACGCAATCCTGAATATAGGCATGCTTGCTTTGTGACATTCTGTGGTGATATGGCATATAAATAAAAATATCTTAAAATTTTTACCATTGCCTCTCTCCGAAATATGGCTTAAAACTATCCTTATTAGTCAACCTTCATGGAAAAGTTAGTGGGTATGCTGGGAAAAATGCGCGCGGCACTTTTTTTGGACACTGAAGATGGTAACATTTGATGTTGTCATATATTGCCATCCTGTTATCATAGCATAACTTAACTTATTTTAGTGAGTTTGTTAAAGCATTGTGCTCACTATATGCCTGTAGTATCTAAGACTTTTTCATAGCATTATATGACAAATTTAAGTTCTGTTTTCTTTTATTTTTAGGTGATAGTATCTGTTCACTCGAGTGTTGGTATCAAATTTTGGACAAGTTTCAATTATTATTTCACATTCCTTTATTCAAATATCCAAATAAATGGAATATGACATCAAACTGGACGACTAGATTCTGTTTCCAAACTTGTTTTTGTAAAAATAGAAAATAACAACTTATGTGTTATTCTAATAAAAACTATTGTTTTTGATATGCATATTTAATTTTTAAAATTACAGTCATTCTTTGCTAAAATGTGTAGCAGGAATACTGAAATCTTTCAGATCAGCTACCAATTCCCTTTATAACTTATGTAGCCAAGTGTTCTATCAATTTCTGTTCAGATTAAACAAATGATGGGTAAAATATTAGTTTAGATTCTTTCAAAAAAAATGAGCTTGCCTATTTTGAAAGCATAAAAAGCAATAAAATAAAGCAAAAGTACTTATTTTTAATTTAAAACCTTTGGACTGCATAGCTTAATGTTTTCCACTAAATATTACACAATTTTTATTCATTGAAATGTTGTTTTATCAGCTTTAAAACCAGATAAATCCACGAATCACTCCTATAAATATGTCGCCATATTGATTTTTTCGCGCATGCTCCGTACAAAATGCCCAGCTGTTGGCCATTGTTTGTTTGTTTTTTTCGCGCGCTTATAGGTTCAAGCTTTTGGTCGCGCAAGGGTTTGGGCACGAGAGAGTCCAATAATATTTTTTTTGGATGCAAGTTCGATCCAAAAAAAACAATTATTGGACGCTGATGACGTCATCGGCGGAAAATAGTTAATAAATGCCGAATACTGAAAATTAGCCTGTGCTTTCTGACCAATTAGAAACGAGAATACATATTAAATGTATAATAATAGTTTTTTATGCATAATTAGCAATTTACCCTGGGTGGTGCATGGTCATTTTCTTGTCTCCGAGCCAACGGCGCGAAGCGCCGTTCCGGACGTAACGGTAAGCCCAGCGCGAGTGTATTAATTCGGCCAGGCTATTTACACTGGATGAAAGGAAAGCATTAGCGAAGTCTAAAGTTTATCAAAGATCGCGGGTGTGGGTCATTGTGCGTGGGTGGTTATCTCTCTGATCTCAAAATATGGCTGTTTGCCAGGAGTAAAGAAGGCAAAAATATACAAAAAACATGGAAGAAAGCCAGGAAAATCGTTTCACATAACAAATTTTAAAACGTTTTTCATTTTTAAACGTAAACATTTGTAAGAATTGATTTAGTATGAGAAATCCTAAAGTATAGGGCAGGTGTGTTTCAATTATGTGTGACTTTGTATTATTAAATAAATATAGACTTTGTTTTTGTTGTTCAAGTCTTACCACTCTAATCGTTTGCTGTTTAAGTTCAGTTAGACTATTAAGCAAATTTATAATATAGCATTTGTAAATTCTGAACGCTGATTGGCAAAAGCCGTGTTGATATAACTCCATGTCAACACGGGAAATTTTCCGCCGCTTGTAACACGGAAATTGTTCTTATTCTTCGGGCTTTTGACATTGCTATATTATAAAACAAATATAAAACATTTTTTCCGTATTTATATATAGTTATATCAACACTCGCGGAAGTTGGGAAAACTTCCACTTTCCACACAATTTCTCGTTTTCCCAATTTCCACTCGTGTTGATATAACTGTATATCAACACGGAAAATATTTTATATTTGTTAAATCTTCGTCTATGTGACTTGTGAAATATAGCTACCAAAATTTATTCGAAGTAGTTTTAGAACGTTTTATAGACCACATAGTGAATGGGGCGCCAAACCTGACAAAATAAAGATGGTTCGTGATATAAAGTATACTAAAATTTACCCCTCTGATATAAGATATGATACGCGAGGTAGCTCGTGATATAAGTATAAGTTATGTACATATCAATATATAGGATATAACCTTAATGACACAATATACAGAGTATACTTTAACTGTCCGCGATATAGGTTATAGAAATAGACTGAGTCGAGTTTTTAATTATTCATGTACTGCCATTTTAAAGTTCACTTCCGGCTTTGAAATTTAATCAGGAAAATTAATCAGTAATAAATTAACGAAATGAGTTAACGCGGGAAATGTAGTAAATAGACTAGCAGATATTTTAGCATCATGGCGGAAAGAGAAATGGCGTTCAGTGGAGAAAGCTCGTCAACTTCGGCGCCTGTAACTGTTGATGATACTAATAATATGAGAACAAGTGTTAATGTGGTGAATCACCCACAATTTCGCTCAATTTTGAACGATGCAGTCGGAAGCCGGAAGTGAATTTTAAAATGGCAGTACATGAATAATTAAAAACTCGCCCCAGTCTATTTCTATAACCTATATCGCGGACAGTTAAAGTATACTCTGTATATTGTGTCATTAAGGTTATATCCTCTATATTGATGTGTACATAAGTTATACTTTATATCACGAGCTACCTCGCGTATATATCATATCTTATATCAGAGGGATAAATTTTAATATACTTTATATCACAAACCATTTTTATTTTCTCAGGTTTGGCGCCCCATAATAATGAAGCTTATGGCGGCCATATTTGATGGCTCCATAAGTTATTCACCGGCAAATTTAGGAAAAAAGAGAGGCTACCGATGATAAATTCTTATCTAGGCAATATATGTCCTTTCCCACTAGTGATTAGAAACGTAAAAGAAGAGTTAAACATGTCCACAAAACCAGATTAGATTAATGGTGGGGCCATCCAATATGGCCGCCATTGGCTTCACTTATGCACAGCAGATGGTTTATCCAGTCTTATTTCAGATCAGTGGTTGCACAATAATGCATGCACGGATATATGCATATAAAATCGTCTCACAAGTGTTGTGCAACAAATCTAGATAATTTAATATCGAGAACTAAGCTTATAATTTTATGCTGAAATATTATTAATTAATTTTTTGCTAATATATATCATTTGATAATTTCCAGCAAACCCAGCTTAATATTATGTTTATCCACATGTGAGACAATTCTATCTCAAACTTATTAATAATTCATGAGTAAATTATTCAATCATATTGCTTTATTTTACCCACAAGATAATACACATAACTTAAGCACGCGACCTTCGTCAACATAGAAGTTGTACACAGAAAATTGAGCCGCTAAAGGTACTGTATGTATGCCTGGTGATCGGAAATTGGAAACCCTTCACACGAAATTAAACTCATGAAGAATCATTAGCAGATTCATTACTACACGTATCTACAAAGATTTCAGGCTAAAATGAGCCATATTGAGAAAATAAGTAGTAAATTTGAATATTTGATCCTAGATTTGTAATACAAAGCATCAATTTAAAAAAGACAACTGTACTTCACCTTCACAATCAAATCCATTGCCACTGAAACCGTCATAACAGGTGCAGTTGTAACCTCCTCTTGTATTGGTACATGTTGCATTGCCATCACATTCATGCATTTCACGATCGCACTCGTCGATATCTAAAATATTTCAATGCACGTTAATGTGAGTTTCTCGCAACCACATATACAACTGATTCAATACAGGTTGCCCTTTGAAAACCGCAAAATGTTGAGCTCGTCACCTCGAAGCGCGAAAAACACAACAGGCGTGCTAATCAAGTGAATTGAATTCCTGAAGGTGTCAAGCATGTCCAACAAACAACGTTAAAACGTTTAAAATTCAAATGGATTCTGCTGGGTTTGTTCTTGAATTGCGTGACGTGAGACAAAGAAATAAAAACGATAACAAAAGGGCTTGTTGGGTATGGGAACCATAGCTAGCGAGTGCATGTCAGACCATTAATTACATACTGTATGCATTTTCATTGTGCTTTGCGTGCTTATAGATCGCAGTTTGGCGGTTTTGAGTTTTGCGGTTTTATATCAGGAATGTAAAAACCTAATACACTGAAGCAGAATTTCTGTTTTCAGAGAAATATTTCGTCGTTTAGATATCTCTCTTGATTTCTTTTAAATTGTGACCATCCGAAGAGACATACTATTGGTGTAATGGAAATATTTAAGGGAGTGATATGGTTTCAAAAGGTAGAAAGATAAGCTTTTCTTGAAAGATATGACCTTTAACGCTTGCACGGACAATACTTTCAACAAACCTGCATTCGTTTAGATAGTGATAGAGACATCTGCTATACCTTGGCAGTGTGTATCATTTCCTTCAAAACCATCTTTACAAATGCACTCAAATGACCCAATTGTGTTGTTACAAAATGCATCTTCATGACAGGGATACATGGTCGCATTACATTCATTTTCATCTGCAATAAAAATTGAGAAATGTTAGCTGGATACACTTACACGCCCAACCTGACAGTAATATTTTACGAGCAGTATTGCAAAGGCAGGAAAAATCAACTTAACCCCGGGCAACTTCTCGAAAAAATGTCATGTTTCAGCAAGTTGAGAAAATCAAGAAATATTGTTTCCTTACAAAAAATCACACTGAAAATATGACATAACATATTTTCTTTTTGCAACAATGTTTCAAGGAAACAATGAGGAATACATCAAAACTTTGCAATGTTTCCATAAAAACAATGCTTTCTCATTCTCTACGAACTTAAAGAAACACAGTCAACCGTGTTGCTTTGCGCGCTAAAATGTTTTGCATGTTTTGTATTCCGCCATCCTATTAGCCACTTTGGTGACGAAAGATTGACATCCGAAGTGTATTCTTATCAATCTGCATTATTCTTAGACGATGTCATATCTTTCATAGTTGGAATATGTTAATAGATCATTGATTGAGATTTTGGCGTGTGTTCTTATCCTATAACCAACAACTTTAGAAAGTTTTGTCATTTTATAAAGTAGATGGCTAATCATGGCTTCTGTATTTACCGTTCGCGGAAGACGTCAATTAAGTGATCTAGAGGGTATGTCAAAAAGAATACCGTTGACTAGTTCAACGTACGTTCTCTGGACGGAAAGGAAAAAAAGCCTGGGAGTACGGGGCTTTCCCATAGCGAGTTCGCCAAAATCCTGCTCCATCAAGACCGAGATTCTATACATATTGTAAAATTTAACATACTGACTAGAACACTTTCCTGGAGGTTTTAGCAGTGTAAACAAGCCAAAATATATGAGTAATAAAAAGGGTAGATATAAATGTTAGGATGTTAGGGTTTGTAATCCAAGTGAGAATATATACATTTTAAGACCTAACCAGGAACGACTGCGAAAAATGCAGCACAAGGTCCTCTGGTAGGAATCGAACCTACGGCCCTGCGACTCCGGAGCATCGCTCTAACCAACTGAGCTACAGAGGTTGCTGTTGTGCTGTAACCGTAAGTATATGTGTGTATATATGTGTGTATATATATGTATATATATATATATATATATATATATATATATATATATATATATATATATATATATATATATATATATATATATATATATATATATATATATATATATATATATATATATATATATATAACATATATATTTAAAACATGTAAAACACGACGCGTAATGGCTTAAAAAACGACCCGACCCATCTTCTGATGAGTACATTAGCGAAGTAATTTTTAAAATAAACTTTGTCTAAACCGAGAAAATCAAAGCTAAAGTTTATGTAAATTAACATGATTTTATATCACATATAAAACCACGACACGCTTATGATTTTTCTTTGTGTTTTCCTCCTGAATTATTAATGAGTTTTTTAAATATATATATAGATATTGCATATATATATATATATATATATATATATATATATATATATATATATATATATATATATATATATATATATATATATATATATATATATATACGAGTAGGTTTGTGTATACGAACCGCAAAGAGTGCTCAATATCATAAAGATAGAGCAAATGTAGAATTTCGCTTACCTCAAAATTCCGCAACAGTCTGTTTCATCAGTAAAGAATCATCAGGCGGTATGACAAGTTTCGAAAAATAGGGCTGCTATTATACATATAAGCAGCCCTATTTTTCGAAACTTGTCATACCGCCTGATGATTCTTTACTGATGAAACAGACTGTTGCGGAATTTTGAGGTAAGCGAAATTATATATATATATATATATATATATATATATATATATATATATATATATATATATATATATATATATATATATATATATATATATATATATATATATATATTTTGACTTTGAGCCCATGGGCAGCCACGATGGCGCCGAAATATGTGAATTAGTTGGCCTTTTCATCCTAAATCACCTAAGTAAGAAGTTTGGCAAAGAAAGCATCGGCCTATATAGAGACGACGGTTTGGCCCTTATAAAAAGTAAATCGGCACGTTTAGCAGACAAAACAAGAAAAGAACTCCACAACATTTTCGAGCTGTTTAACCTAAAAATCACCGCCGAATCAAATTTACGGATAGTGAACTTTTTAGATGTAAATTTCAATCTTAACAACGGAAAATATAGGCCCTATAGGAAGCCCAATGACGATCCGCTATACATAAATAGGTACTCTAACCATCCACCTAGCATTATAAGGCAGCTTCCTACATCAGTTAACAAGCGCATCGCAATGCTTTCATCAGATGAGTAAACATTTATAGAATCTGCACCTGCATACCAAAACGCACTTGATCATAGCAACTTTAATTATGATCTTAACTACACTCAACACGCACCACAGCAAGCACGCAGAAATAGGCAACGTAATATCATTTGGTTCAACCCACCATTTAGCATGAATGTCAGCACTAATATAGGGCGTAATTTTCTTAACCTTATCGACAAGCACTTTCCTTCGCACCACAAGCTGCATAAGATCTTTAACAGAAATACGGTAAAAGTAAGTTAAAGCTGCATGAGCAATGTTAAGTCTATGATCACTAAGCACAATGCACATATAGCTAGGAAGAACAAGGCACAGGGCAAGGACACTGTCAATTGCAGTTGTTCGAAAAACACAATATGCCCTCTTCAGAAACAATGCATGACTAAGGACATAGTATACAAAGCAACAGTTACAACAAGCAACCCTAACACTATCATGAATTATATTGGCATGACATCAACTACATTTAAAAAGCGTTTGGCTAACCATAACTATACTTTCGAGCATAAAGAGCACTCAAATAAAACTGAGCTTTCGAAATACATTTGGACATTGAAAGATAGCAAGAAAGATTTTAATATCAATTGGCAAATTTTGAAACGCGCTATTTCGTATATGGGAGGATCAAAACGATGTAGTTTATGTTTAGAAGAAAAATTTTGTATTTTGAAAGAAAACCAAAACTGTTTACTCAATAAAAGAATGGAAATTATATCTACGTGCAGACATAGGAAGAAATTTCGCGTAAACAACGCAAACAATACACTTCCACATCTCGATTAGGCATTTCCGCGTAAACAACGCAAACAATAGATGAATGCATGCTTTGTTTCACCCCTACACCCCCACATTCCGGCCAAAACACATATAAGCAGTCCTATTTTCGACACTTGTCATACCGCCTGATGATTCTTTACTGTTGCGGAATTTTGAGGTAAGCGAAATTATATATATATATATATATATATATATATATATATATATATATATATATATATATATATATATATATATATATATATATATATATATATATATATATATATATATATAACTACAGACGGTACCGTTTCGGTCTAATGGGCCTCATCAGTCTAGTGCTGATGAGCAGGATGAAAGTAACTCTTATTTATAGTTACCTTTGATGCCTCACGATTGTGGGACATCAAAACCATGCCAGAGCGCTCAAACTGCAAGCAGTGAGCGTGCGCAATGCGTAAGCGGCATGGCTCATCCTGTAGAGCGCTCAATATGACCTAAAGGCCATAGAGCGTAATCTAACTACAGACGGTACCGTTTCGGCCTTATGGGCCTCATCAGTGTAGTGCTGATGAGCAGGATGAAAGTAACTGCTATTTACAGTTACCTTTGATGCCTCACGATTGTGG